GGCCATGGCGGTGACGCCTGTGACGTCATCGGGGCTGTTGATGATGTCATCACTCGTGCCAACCCTGGCGGTGATGTCATTGGCCGTGTCGATGATGTCATTGATGACGTCGGCGGCCACACTGGTGCTGTTGATGACGTCATCGGTGTCATTGATGATGTCATTGGCCATGATGACGTCATCGGCCGTGCTGGTCTCGGTGATGACGTCACTGGCCACGCTGATGTCATTGGTGATGTCATTGGCTCTGCTGGTGATGTCACTGGTGATGTCATTGAGCACATCAGTGGTGGTGATGACGTAATTGGCCAAGTCGATGACGTCATTGGTGATGTCATCGGCCGTGCTGGTCTTGGTGATGACGTCACTGGTACCATTGGTGATGATGTCATTGATGACGTCATCGGCGGTGCTGGTCTCGCTGGTGACGTCACTGACATCATTGATGATGTCATTGGCCATGTTGGTGATGTCGCTGATGATGTCATTGACCACACTGGTGGTGTTGATGACGTCACTGGCCACATTGATGATGTCATTGATGACGTCATCAGCTGTGGCGGGCTTGCCGATGACATCACTGATGCCATTGATGACGTCATTATCCAATGTTGATGACGTCACTGGTCATGTTGGTGCCATTGATGACATCATTGGCCGTGTCGGTGACATCATCAATGACGTCACTGACCACATTGGTGCTGCTGATGATGTCACTGACCCCGCCAACGCTATTGATGACGTCATTGGCCACGCTGATGATGTCACTGGTGATGTCATGGGCCGTGTTGGTTCCATTGATGATGTCATTGGACGTGTTGGTGACGTCATCGATGACATCACTGTCCACACCGGTGCCATCGACGACGTCATCGGCCGTGCCGGTCTTGGCGATGATGTCACAGCTGCCTCTGATGACGTCATCGACCGTGTCGGTGATGTCACTGATGACGTCATGGACCACATTGGTGGTGTGGATGACGTCACTGGCCATGTTGGTGATGTCATTGATGACATCATCAGCCATGCTGGTCGTGATGATGACGTCATCGATGCCATTGGTGATGTCATTGGCCACGTTGATGATGTCACTGGTGATGTCATTGGCCGTGCTGGTCACTGACACCATTGATGACGTCATTAGCCATGCTGATGATGTCACTGGTGATGTCATTGGCCATGTTGGTGCCATTGGTGACGTCATTGTCCGTGATGGTGATGTCACTGATGACGTCACCGACCACCCTGGCCACTCGAC